GTGCTACCATTGTTCGTATGCAGCGTTTACCTCGTTTTGTGCTTGAAGGTTTTTCACACCATGCTTTACTCAGTTTCTATGTATTGATTGTATTCAGCTGGAAACATTACATTAGCGAAATGTGGAAGTGTACTTTTTATCAGATACCTATGCATACTATCAGAAACTTTAAATGCTTGAGCGTAACGAATCTGTATGAAATTATTTTTTTTGCAATACATACAGCGTTGTACTGCTAATTTTACGCATTTTTTTAGATGGGCTTTCAGAGCAGTTTTTTGCGTCGTTCTATTATTTTGTTTTTCGCTTGATTATGAATTTAATAATAATTGCTTTGCTGCGAATTTGGCAGTATTAAAACATACGATATTTTATTGTGACCGCATGGACCAATCGAAAAGTAAAAGGATCATAAATTACAGTTCTTAGCGTGTTTATAACGCGTTCTCCTGGTCAAAGTTACTGGTGCTGACGGTATTACAGTGCAAGATGCTTTTTCTTGCAGACATGACAGTTATCTTATGGATGTGGCGATGTGGCGTTCGTGTTTTCTACAGATGTAGTTGTGGTATGGTGCTGATGGCGTTATGCTGGTAGTGTGCTGCCGGTGTTATCTTAAGTTACTAAAATGTATTAACCTTTAATAAGTATCATGGTACGAGTACAAACTATGCACCAGAACAAAACAGCATTTACTACAGCAGTTACTATAATTGTTAGATTAGGTAGATTTATCGTGTATACAGTTTATGACTGAGTTAAATCAGGTATTGTGGAGTTTTCACAACCGTAACATTTCATGACCGTAACAGTTCATGACCACAACATTTCGTAACCAGAACATTTCATGACCACAACATTTCATGACCAAAACATTTCATGACGAAACCGGAAATTCGGCACTTAAAAAAACTTAATGAAAACGCCTAATTAATATTATCTTTAAATCCGGCCAGAAAATAATTTGAATAGTGCAAAAAAAACAACGTTACCTTTATTATTGTTGACAAATGGTAGAATCAGTAAAGTTAGACGGCTTTTATTAAGCATTACCTACAAGTCAGTAAGGTTAATATGTTTAAAAACCTCACCATGATGTCCATGAAACAAAAATTAATTAATATTGTTGCCAGTACAAAATACGGAGATTATGGTGCTACTATTATTTCTGAAAACCGCTCGGGTAAAACCTATTTCAGATACCTGCAGATTCGTGTTAACCTAAATACGTCCAGAGATTATCGTACTTGACAATAAAACATTGGAGATCGTTTTTCGTTCATGTACATCAAAATTAACGTTTTAATATTCTACATTAGGCTGGGCCATATGATCTTGGGGCATATATTTCTTGCTCTTCTGCTGCTGTGGAAAAGTTTCTCCTGTGTCGTTTATATGCAGATAGTTCGAGATAAAGCTGCATAAGGTCAAACATAATTTCTGCACAATGTTATGCAATATTATCCGTAACATTGCCGCTGACCATTAGTGCGATATATGCAAACGAAAAAAATAAAGAGTATCGGGAGATGGCTAAGCGATGATAGTACGGCTTTCATACTTCATCTTTTGGCGTGATTAGATTATCTTAAATTTACAGTTACGGTATGTGAAAAGGGTCTTTACAAAGTGGTTGCCAAATAGCACATCTGTAAGATTTTTATCTAAATTTTTGTGATATGGATGGTTTATGTTGGATTTTTATTTCGGTTTATCTCGAATGCCTAGGGTTTTTGTCTGAGCAGCGATTAAACTAAACTGCAAAATCAAAATGTTGCTGTCGGTCATGAAGTGTTACGGTTGTGAAAAGTTGTGGTCATGAAACGTTAGTTACGTTACGGTCATGAAATGTGGGTTGTGAAATGTTACGTTGTGAAATCTCGAGTTATGAAATGTCGTGTAACGGTACAACCACTGCAAGCCGCAAGTTGCAAGCCCGCTTCAGCAGAAAGTAATAATTTCTAATGCGTAAATGCAGTGCGGTGGCATCCGCGAACTGAAAGAGTCCTCTGCAAGATCTGATAAACATAACTGATCTGATAAAGCACAACAAAACGTAACAGTTGAAGCAGAATAACGGCAAAGTATCTTAAAAGCTTACAAAAATTAAAAAAAGGCCGAAAAAAGGGCTTCAGTCAACATTATTAATGTGTGACAAGACTGTCAAGAAAGGAGCATCGGCAGTTTGTGTCAGAAAGACTGTCAAGAAAGGAGCACCGGCACCGGCAGATGCGTTAAATTAATATAAGGAATAAACCAAATGGACAAGCAGAGTAAGGGATAATCCAGTTCGGCTCGTGCAGCGCGGACGGTTGCTTACGTTCGGCATTTTTTTTAAAGACTCCTATTTATTCTACTTTGAACGGAAATTCTACAAACTCTTTTAATCTGAGACATGGGTTTCCTAGAATTAACGAAATCATAATTCAAAAAAAAAGAATTAGCAAAATCGAAATTCAGATCATAACAGCTGATTAAAGCGTGAAAAAAACCGATCCAAAACTTGCAGTGTAGAAACACTTTCAGCCGCAGTACCACCATCGCAACCATTAACGATAAGTGTGCCACCATTACTTGATATCACTACTGCTGCTGTTACATAGCATTAACTGGTACTATCCATTCATAACCTTCGGACGGCAAAGAACGACATTCCGCGGGTATATGGAGCTTGCATTGGCCGTCAAATACGTAAAGCTCGACAATGCGACAAGTACGTAAACATCGAAAAAAAACTGGTTTCCTGTGCCGGACAAAACTAATTTCGTTCCGGCAATAATGTCCCCCATGCCGGACAACACTAATTTCGTTCCGGCAATAATGTCCCCCATGCCGGACACCAGTAATTTCGTTCCCCCATGCCGAACAACACTAATGCCGGACACCAGAAATTTCGTTCCGGCAATAATGTCCCCCATGCCGGACACCAGTAATTTCGTTATGGCAATAATGTCCCCCATGCCGGACACCAGTAATTTCGTTCCAGCAATAATGTCCCCCATGCCGGACACCAGTAATTTCGTTCCGGCAATAATGTCCCCCATGCCGGACACCAGTAATTTCGTTCCGGCAATAATGTCCCCCATGCCGGACACCAGTAATTTCGTTCCGGCAATAATGTCCCCCATGCCGGACACCAGTAATTTCGTTATGGCAATAATGTCCCCCATGCCGGACACCAGTAATTTCGTTCCGGCAATAATGTCCCCCATGCCGGACACCAGTAATTTCGTTCCGGCAATAATGTCCCCCATGCCGGACAACACTAGTTTCGTTCCGGCAATAATGTCCCCCATGCCGGACACCAGTAATTTCGTTCCGGCAATAATGTCCCCCATGCCGGACACCAGTAATTTCGTTCCGGCAATAATGTCCCCCATGCAGGACACCAGTAATTTCGATCCGGCAATAATGTGCCGGACAACAGTAATTTCGTTCCGGCAATAATGTCCCCCATGCCGGACACCATTAATTTCGTTCCGGCAATAATGTCCCCCATGCCGGACAACACTAATTTCGTTCCGGCAATAGTGTCCCTTCGGTGACTAATGTCCTTCAGTTGTTTTTGACTGGTAACGCTGTGGTAACGTTGGTGGCAGTTTTTCAAAGGTCACCGATTGACCTGAAAATCAGCTTTCCGTTGTAAGTCCCCCATGTCACCATTGTGGCCAAAGGGTTACCGTTTTGGAGGTGGTTGCAGGGGGGACACGGCAAAAATGTCCGGGGGGACAGGGGGGACATTTTTGCCGGTCACATACAGTAATGCCTTCAAGTCAACGATCGTTTCGGCTGTCCCGGCGAAGTTGCTCTATTGTTGTTCTTCTGTTGTAGGCTAACTTGTTAGTAAAGGAGCGTCAAGTGTCTTGTTATTCCATAATCTACTTTAAAGAGTGTCATTATTTAAAGATGCCATTATTTTGCTCAAGAAGTGCAGTTCGACCTGTATGGCCATTTTCTTCCCATTGCTGTTATATTCACCTCCCAATTAGGCGATAAACAATTAGTAAAGATCAAGTGCAATACAATTACAAGACGTACATACAAGTTACACGCACAGCGAGACGCAGTGTCACATATAATGTTAATAATAGCTTCCCGAATGTCGTTGATGGTGTAAACAGCAAGGGTGTTTATGAACGGGACTTGTGCGTTTGTTCACAGCGTCAGCATTCACTGTAATAAATCAACAGACAAGGAAAGAATTATGATGCACATATTAATTTTCTCCAATGTTCGTTGTCAGTCAGCGTATTTGTGTAAGCCAGTACAAGCGTGGTGATTAATTTCCTTCGTAATTGGTGTAGCGAGTGATGCAGACTGTCAGCTTTACGGATTATCGACGCAAGTCACGCAACCAATCACCGAAATGTACATTGCGGCTTCGCTTGTTTAGTAAATTTAGACACGACTCCGTCAGTGCGCCTGCAGAGTTGACATCTGTTTAGAAAATCCTTTCCAAATAACCCAGGAAGGATTGAGTTAGTACTTACTTAGTTCTGAATTAAGTACTGACTTAGGGTATTTAGCGCTACTGGCCATTAAGCGGGCTTAAAATCACAAAATTTTCCTTCTCTGTAAAATACATAGTTTTCTTACTGTAACTCATCTGCTCAAATACAGTTTTATGCTAAAGCCGACTTATAATCAGGCTACTTAAGAACAAAACTCGGGAATTAAACAGTATTATCAAGGTATAAAGCCAGATAACTCGACGTTAGAGAAAACCTTTTACGCTTACGCCGCAGATTGTAGATGTGATAGTGCCGAGACTGCAACCGCGAGAAGAAAAAAATCTGTACCAAAATTTAAATCTGGTACGAACCGTCAGAAAAATCATGTACTACTTGGATGGTGTCGTTTGAACACAGCAACTCGTATTTTGACGTCCGGCGCAACGAAACTCAGTTATTGCACACGTTAAAATCACAACAGCAAAGCAAAATACCTACGGCTACAGTTACTGGCACTGTCTGAACATCATCTTCTTTATGACAGCGCAAATTAACAAGCAGCGAAGTTCTAAATTTCAAACACCACGCTGTCGCACTCACTATTATGCAATGCAAGACTTTACATGGCGAGAGAATGCGGTTCCGGTACGGTTGATGCCTTCTGCACCCTGCGGAATCGGCTTCGAACAGTCGATAGGCAGAAAAATACGTTCCCAAGTAAATGGAAAGCTGCTTTCGTAGTCCTTTATGGCGAACAGTTCGCCATCATCGTGGTTGCCATCGTGCAAGAGCAGCGTGTTGTTAGTCCACCATTGTCGGAACCAGGCAAAATCGCAGCCACAATGCAATCGCCACAAGTAATCGCGAATTCGCGGTCAAAAATCCCGTGTCGGTTACAAATTCGTGTAATACAGTCCGTGTTCCAGACTCAACAACCGCAATGCGGGCAAATAACCGAACGCATCCAACTGTAGACTGCGGATCGTGGTGTTGGAAAACACTAGCATACGCAAGTAATAAAGGCGTTGAAAGTCGTCGCGCTGCACGTTCAGGTCGTTGCATTTTGAAATTCCAAAGTCCAGCAGACTGGTCAATTGGAAATCCCTGGCTATGGTCGTCGAGCGACTGCTCGTGCATCGAACGAGGTCGAACCTCACGATGGTCCGCCGAAGGGGTGCTAAGTCGGCGGGTGTGATGGGAAGGTCACCTTTAATGGTCCATCCTGCCGGTCGTGGCGGCTGCAGCGCCATGGCTTTGGCCAGCTGACGTATCTCCCGCACCTGATCTTCGTAAGTAGTGCAACTAGTATTTGACCGAATATGTCCTCTAGGCCAATGCTCCTCGCAGGACTGGTAATTCCGCCGCAGCCAACTGCAATGAGTTAGCTCACGCAGTGCGGTGCATTCATTCTGAGTCATCGGCTCGCTTGAAAACGTAGGAAACTCGTCGCTGGTTTTTGTGTTGTTTTCACAACGCTCCGGGAATTCTTCCTTGTCTGCAAGAATATTTTGCTTCCAACAGTTAACCTTCCTACGATTTCGTTGTATTTAATTTTAGAGTTTATATTCCACACTTACAAAGGTCTTCGTTAACCGAAAACGAATACAGATTAGTATGAAGAACAACGTCTCTGTTGGGAAATGGTGCTTCGGCACAGTCGATGGGCAGAAAGACATCGTTAAATCCCAGGTTCTCGTTGCGCCAAGAGTCGTACTCGATGCGGTATATTTCCCCCTCGTCCGCGTATTGCTTTAGTCCGCTGATACTAAACCAGCGCCGGAAGTGCTTGAACTCGCAGCCGCAGTGCAGTCTCACTAAATAGGTCCAAATATCTGCTTGAAAAATTTCCATTTCTAAGATTCCGCGCTCCAACGACAGCAGACGCAATCCCGGTAAATCCGCGAAGGTGCCAACTTCGAGGGATTCTATCGTGGAGTTAGCGAACTGGATGAGTCGGAGTTTGGCGGACTGCCAAAAGTCGGCTCGTCTGACGTCCAAGGCGCGGCAGTGATGCACGCTGAATTCCAGCAAATGCGGCAGCCGCAGTTGGGCCAGGTTCTTGGTGGCGCGCGGAGAACGGCAGTTGTGCAGCTGGAAGACCACCGCCTGTTCGCGCACTGGCGCCAAGTTCTCAAAGGCAACTTGGGGTCCATCATTCAGACTGACGAAGACCGCCTTGAGTGGCGGCTTGGACAACGCTAGCGCCAGTTGCTGTACTTCCTCGTTTGAGGCTTCACTGCTGCAGTTGATGGCCAGTCCCTGTTTCTGGGCGCACGCGAAGGAGTTGCCAATGTTAAAGCGCACTCCGCAGTGGGCGGTGAACTGCAACTCACATTGATCGCGCGTTATCAGTTCCGTGCTGAAATCGGGCAGCGGCGAAAATGTCATTGCCTTTTGGAAATGCCAATCTACTGATCAAAAGCAAGTGCCAAGTGTTCGACAGATGTTCGCTGGAGTGATAAGCTTACCTCTGCCTATCCCAAAGCTGTTCGGTGCAGACCCCAGAAGAATTACGCATGCAAGAAGGATTTGAAATGAATGCATAATGCTGCGTTTTCACTGGAAAATTAATTGGCAACACGCAAATGTTGCTGCAATCAAAGTAATTGACACAACGCTCACAATGACAACTTTGACAATGCACACAATAATCGCGCAGAATTACAACTTCTGACAATACTGTAAGCATTTAGAGTGCAGCGAATCGTTGCGGAAGCAGCCTTGCGCAAATCAATTAAGTAAAACTGAAAAGCAGTAAATAGCACCACTAATCAGTGCAAGTCGCTTTTTGGCAACAAAATTTACATGGAGTTTTGCTGACAGCCTGACACTGGGATTATGCAAAGGCCTTGTTAAACGGCAAATAAGTATTATCCACGCAGTCGTGTTGCCCTAAAGCGTGACATTAATTAGTCATCCAATTTTCAGCGGACACGGAACTGCACCAGCTGCGCGACACCATGCGGATGCTGAGTTATCCGGAAACGCTGTAACCTCAGGGTTCGTCCGAGTGGCAAAAGTTTTGCAGACTGACAGTGAACGACTACAGTAGCTTAAGCGGATGGTGCCAATCGCTAAACTCACAGAATATTTCAGCAGAAGTCTTTATGCATTGTACCGTTATTGTTAACGCGCGATTAAGACTTGTTTCGAATTTTCTTCTGGATTGCGCAAAATGTTTTATCGGAACTTAAGTTCGGATTTATGCTATTGGGTATTCATCGGCTTCATATTCGCACTAGAAAAATTAAAAGAAAGATAATGTTTCTAAAAATCGACAGGGATGCATGAAATCAATGCTGGCGTGCATTCACAGCAAGGAAAAATTTTTTCTACTTTTCAAAGTTAGCCATCAGGTAGAACTTCAAACATCACGCGAGAAACTTCACAAAAGCAAAAACACAGCACTAAGACCGTCTGTACTTGGGACGGTCGACGTTACGGACAACGTCACCCTACTCAAGGGCTTTTTTGTGTTACTTAAGCGGAAAATGCTATCATTTAAAATTTAGTGCTAACCTGCACAAGCGTAACGCTGTTAGTACTCGTATTTTTACCCCGCTTCTGCATATACAAAAATACGTTACGGAATATCGAAAGCTGGGCTTATCTCATAAAATAGCAGACCTCAAGCATATCCAGCTTTATCATTCCCAGCCTGGTATTGCTTTAACAATTTTTTTGGCTCAAAGTCCAAACAGATAAGTAATAACCAATAACAACACATACCGATGGACTTATGCGAGTGATGTTTGAATGCTACGCTTACTGGTCGCGCATCACCGGCAAAATGTATTTATCGTAAGACGATTTGCATGAGCGGCACCGGAGACTCGGAGACCAGCGAAGAGATAAGGAATGAGAATAATAACAGGAAATGATACTTCAAAAATTTTGACTAAAAGAACCTCACATTTTTCTTACAAAATAATCGTCGCTTTAAATTTTCTAAAGAGAAGCTACGTAGTACCTTGCTAATTGCACGTATAAGAGGGAAACAATTAGCGCGATGGATCAGAATATTTTGCGCCGCTCTTCTAAAGAACGTGCTGAGATATTTTTTGCAAAGAAGGTTTCGCCTTTGTCAAAAATTAATTAAGTAAGCAGATCAATTAACTAATTAAGCATATCAGTTGCTAATTAGGTGTCAGTTCATTTTGCGGCGCTGAATTAAACTGGAAACGTTTACATACCGTTGTTAGCCGACATGGTACACTGCCCGCCAGGTACAGTACATTTATGAATTAATTAACGCAGTGTAAACTGTAAATTGTAATTAACGTAAGTTACTTAATAGTCTGATAATAGATCAATTTATAATTGCTCATTTAGACGCTTATGTAAATGTATTAAAGTGTATGTGCGTAGTAGACTGTTGTTTTCATGACTTGCATGCCTGATGCCGTGATGCGTATTTGCAAAACGGAGCTGTTCACGCGGGTATTTGTAAAACGTGCCGTATCTTTCCTTCGACCAGTTAAAAAGCAGATCGGTTCGGAATGTTATGAATCATAATCCTGGTCAATACAAAACCAGACCGGAGATAAGAAAGCCAGAGGTGATTGAGGACGCGTAATATGGAACTTTACTGGCGACAGACTGATGTATGTAATTATCTTCAATAAGCCAGCAAAAAGCGATAAGTAAGCAACCAGACATTTCGCTTCGCAATCGCTTGCAGATTCGATGGGCTCAATTTTCCGTAAAACATCGTCTTTTCACCGCAAAAGCTTCGGAAATGGTACAGTACAATGGGTGTCCGTGCACAGCTGCGCTTACTCTTGTTTTTTTCTACTTATGTACAGTATCTGTACGTACTTATTCATTGTCAGTTTGCCATTATATACTGTAGCACCAGATTCGTGTACAAGAGCGGAAATTTTTCTGCCGGGCACAAATGGTTTCCATACCAATTTGTTCAAGTTTTATTTCACTACAGAATATTACAAAACAATGACAGTAATACGAGTATGTCTTTGGAAGAGCGCGAAAGCGAAAGTTTCCGCGCAGTACGCGAATTTGGGGATACATGCCGCCTTACAGATATTTTCTTATAGGAGTGATACCTCAAGATTTAATTATGGCCATAAATACGCCAGTACATCACTCTAATGTGTACGAGTAGACAAGATTATCAGTTCTTATTTTCCGTTGGCAGAGCTTAGCGAAAAGGTCTGCGTTAACATTGGATCGAACAGCCAGAATAATCTTCAATTCAGATAATATGTCCAGTCATCATACAAGTGTACGCTGCAGAAAACAGCGTGTATAGTGGGGATTAAATGAGTAGTGTGTTTGCTCACTGTTGCAACGGGTGCTACAGTACTGTACATGCATGCTGACTAAGTTTGACTACTGTAAAAATAAGGGATTTTGTGGTTTTTTCGATATTCAAATTTTACCGATTGCCGAATTCGAATTTTAAGGCCTTGTCCCGAATTCGAAGCGAATCTCGTTATGGTACGGTTGCTCAACCGCACGAGGTGGCTGTATGCAGTGGCCACGCCTACAGATACGGTACGCGAAGCCACCTCGCGAGGTGGAGTTGCTGTATCGCAACGAGATTCGCTTAGAATTCGGGACGAGGTCTTACTGTATTCGAATCTTGGTGAACTTAAGTTAATTCCATCGTCCCACAATTATCGCCCATGGCAGAATGTCGAAGAAACATGTTCATCGGCAACAGTAGCCGACGTGCTTAAACATAATGATTATTGGCATACCATTTTGACCGTTGTATCGAGTGTTATTTTTTGTTATTAATTTCTTATGTAATGTTGTCTTCCTCTAAACTTCGACACAACTAAATAGTCGATTGTTGCAACGCTTCGTATATGTACAGATAAATACTGATGCAGTATTGCAGTGAAACCTTGACGCTCAGATAACGAGATCGCTTAGATCAATAATTTGTTCGCTTAAATGCGGTAAAGACTTAATAGTGAACTGCACGTACCAAGAGCTATAAAAATTAATAGAATTTTTACTTTCATATCTAGCGCAAAGCTGCGACCGCAGTTAACGAACCACAGCACGGATGGTGATAGAAAAGATAGTTCATTTTCCGGCTTGTCTCCCTACAAACCCAGACACCGAGTTGTTGAGCCACGGCCGGAGAATTTTATCGCTTATCAGCAGCCCGAAAATAACAATACCGATCATGCAGATAATTCTCTCCAAAAGGCTATAAACTGAAGCGTTATCATTTTGCCGCTGCGTCTATTGTGATGCACATGCGGTTACCTTCAGAAGTCGCTTTAAAACTGCCTTGAAACAATTCGAACACTGACGGTCTTTGGTCCGTATCGATAAGATTTTATGCAGCGAGCAGCACTATCGACTACTTTACTCAGTATACATTAGATTGCTCGTTTCGGGAGTAATAAATACACGTGGACTTGTATGAGCCGCGTTTATGCTTTTCATAACATTGCCTTAATATTTTCATGGCGTATGCGTTAATTATTGCTATTAGAATATATATTCTGTGTGACCTCTCGTAATACCCACACGCATAACGTGCCGACGTTCCTCTGTTTTCTGAATGCAGTACAGTAATTGAGATCGTGGACAGCTACACTTTCGCTCAGAATAAATCAGCATGGTCTGTTGAGATGCTACTTTAGTACTTAATCGAGCGCTAGCATGGACGTATCGGCTACTTATTGCTTTTACGCAACAAGTGGGCGCTACGTCGAGGCTACGGTCGGTATATTCTTCAGGCTTATTTTGGTCTACCAATAGAAGTAACACGAACTGTGATGTACTCGTACATAATACACGACCATGCTTCTTCCATTCGTGCCGATTTTATTAGGCACAAGGCTGGAAAGGATACACCAGAGGCGGTTGGATGTACGACGATAACGTCTCTGGACAATAACTTGTGCCCAAGCGATGCCCACTCGCATCTTAACAATAGGTGATCGACTGATCGTATTATTCATAAGGCTTATCTAGTAAATACGATCAACCGCAAAAATCTTGGTCACTTACTTAGTCAATTAGCGATTTAGCTTACTGGACAGTAGTGGTATCTAGGTCAGTCTCTCAGTCAATAAGCAATTTTGCTCGATGGTCGCTGGTGCTATCTCGGTCACTCACTATCTCGGTCGCTATCTCGGTCAGTTCACTCAATAAATGCGGCTCTTTGTTTTTAGCGTTGTTTAGAAGAGTGGTCCTACCAAAATCGAACAGCCCGATAAACTTACAGTACTTACTTGATAACGCTGTACTGTACGGAAATAAGTTCAATTTATACCGTTGATTTTGCGTAATTAAAAAATTAAAAAGCCCTTGAGTAGGGGAATGGCGTTGTCCGTAACGTCGACCGTCTCAAGTACAGACGGTCCTAATGCGTTGTACTAATTTTGTTTTCGTAAAGTTTCTCGCGTGATGTTTGAAACTCTACCTGATGGCCAACTTGGAAAAACAGAAAAAAAATAAGAAAAACAATTTTCTTGCTGCGAATGCACTTAGCATTGATTTCATGCATCCCTGTCGATTGTTACAAACATTGTTACAAACATTGTCGATTGTTACAAACATTATCCTTCTTTAAATTTTTTTGGTACGGAATAGAAGCCGATGAATAGCCAATAGCATAAATCCCAACTAAAATTCCGATAAAACATTTCGCGCAATCCAGAAAAAATCTAGAAACAGTTCCCAATCGCGCGTTATCAATAACGGGTACAATGCGTGATGACTTCTGCTGAATTAGATTCTGTGAGTTTAGCGATCGGCATCGTCCGCCAATGCTATTGTAGTCGTTCACTGTAAATCCTCAAAACTGTTGCCACTCTGACTCGGACGAACCCTGAGGTTACAATGTTTCCGGATAACTCAACATCCGCATGGTGTCGCTCAGCTGGTGAAGTTGTACCTGATGGCTAACTTTGAAAAGTAGAAAAAATTTTTCCTTGCTGTGAATGCACTCCAGCATTGATTTCATGCATCCCTGTCGATTTTTAGAAACATTATCTTTCTCTTAATTTTTCTAGTGCGAATATGAAGCCGATGGATACCCAATAGCATAAATCCGAACTTAAGTTCCGATAAAACATTTTGCGCAATCCAGAAGAAAATTCGAAACAAGTCTTAATCGCGCGTTAACAATAACGGTACAATGTGCTAGGAGATCAGCGCCACTGCACAGGGCAGTGGATGCCGCGCTGACTCTGGCCCTTCGCTACTGCACGGGCAGGTTGTGTGGTTTTTCTGCATGCCGCCGCAGATCGCGCGGAGTTGTCTCGCAATCAGGAATAAACCTGATTGCTCGAGGTGTTTTTCCCTTCTTCCCTGTTTTCCCGATTTGTGCATTTATCAAAAATTACATTTTTAATAAAAGATCGTTCTGGTCGTGGCCGCGTTGTGCACGGTTCTGTGTGGCAGTCGCAGGCCACTTTTATGGTGGAGATTTGCGGGTTCGATCTCCGCATCCCTTTAATTTTTCATATCACGACCGCGCGATATCAACTGCGCGCACAGCCGAATTCCCTGTACGGTCTACCGGATTCCACGCCAACGCTACAGCGCAGTGTGGAGTATAGCCGTATCGAAAACCCGGAAACATCAGCACCGTATCCCGACGCATCGCGAAGGACCGGAGCTGATTTCTCCCCACTACCAGCCGAAACCTGTCTCCCTCATATATCGGAGGAACGACCAGTTTCTGGGGGTTCTTCTGTGGAGGAGCAGAAAAGCGGAAACGAGATCCTGCGTTCCAGACGACAGGCAGAAAGCAGCACACCGAACGCACCGCATCGCACAACGTCACGTCGTGTCAGTGCAGGTAAGCCGTCTGCAAAACTTGCAGAAACCGATGTGGTCTTATGACTAATTTTGCCGAACAATTTTCCGAAAGGATTGTTGTGATTTGCCGTAAATTAATTGCCGAAAACGGAAGCTTTAGAGGCAACCGTACTTCATCAAATTTTTGTTGAATATCGCCGATATTGCCGTCGATTTCCGTCATGGAAATTAATATTAAATTCAGCAATAGCTGCAGCCGATTATTTCGATTTTTGTAGAATCGCTTTCTACAATTCTCGTGATAAATTATTAATAGTTTATCAGCCGATTAACGCCGTAAAACTTTTGTCGAAACACGGGAAATATTCTTTCCATGTCTGAGCGCATTGACGGTCTATTTCCCGTAAGTCGATATTACAGTTCATACTGTAAGTAATTAATGCCGAATAACTGCCGATAAAAATATCGAAATTATAACAATAATCCCTAGTAATTTGAGGAATCAAAAAAATCGCCGATAGCCGATATTGTTTTATTTTTATTTCAGTGGAGGTATTGGGAATTATGCGCCCTTACGTCTACTGAGTAAACCGATCTGCATCGCAGATTTTATCGCGAAAATTTAAAGGCCATCCAGGCCTGAGGTGCCGGACAGCGAAGAAGGTTTATCAACCTTCTCGCTGCAATTTGACCGAATACGGAAAGCTGAAAAGCTACCGTGCAATATTGCCGTTCAGTTATTGATTCATTTCAATAATTTAAGTATTGAAAGCTATGGAGTGCCGATTGTATCAGCGCTATCTATAGGGAGCCGAAAGTGTTACCGCTTAATAATTATAGATAATAACCGCCGAAATTACACGATTACTTTCCTTTCACTTTGATCGGAAATCGTTTTGTGATTTAGTTGACTTCATACCGACCCATTTATGGGAAGTCGAAAATAAAAAACCATTTGGATTGCCGTATTCATTATTAGAATACAATCGCAATAATTATCGATTGTACTTTAATAATACCGCCGATATGCATCGAACTCCTTTGAATAAGGCAAGACAATTTGCCAATGGTTTGATCAAAACAGCCGACCGGATTATCCGGAACCAGCCGAACCAAGCCGAAGCGAATGATGCTAGCCGGCCCAGCGGGGCGAACGATAACCCCGCAGGGAAGATTACTCGAAATAAAGCCAAACAGATAGCTGCCGGTGGTGAAGCGATAGTGCACCAAGAACTACCACAAGTAAAGAAGCGAGTGGTAAATAATAGGCCGCCATTAGCCGACCTACCGATACCTGATTCGGTAGTACAGCCGACCTCGCCGGTGGTTCATATGAACCTAGATGAAGAATCATCGCCGACCATGTCGAAGTCTTCGTCGGTTCCGCTCATCAATATTAGTGAAGCCGAATCTAGTAAGCCGGTCGATACGTCAGAAGATGATGATGAGCCGCCTACAGTCATACCGATTTTGCCGAAGGCGCACTCAAGTCCCAGCCTTATCGATAAGGTTATGGGGAAGGACTTGACGCCTGTTATGAAAATACCGCCGACAACAGAGAACCCTGCTAAAGTGAGTCTTTTAATGCAGGCAACCGAAGCCGTTGTCGATATGCAAAACCAAGTATCAGAGTTGCGTATCCGACTCGAACAAGCCGAACAGTGTCTCGCCATCCGAAATAAGGCGGTCGCTGATTTAACAGCCGAGCAGGACAACCTGAAGGAGCAGCTACGGGTTGCCAACGGTAAATATAAGAAAGCAAGTGATGCTGCCGTCGGGCTCGGTGCCCATGTAGTCGACCGCGATAATACGATAAAACAATTAAAAGCCGAACTGAAGTCCGAAAAGGAATCGTCGAGCGTTGCAGCCGAAAAAAGCCGGTTAGATTTTAACAAACTTGTTGATATGTATAACAATCTGCTGACAACGTATCAACAGATGATGGCCGCCGCCGAGAATCAAATGGAATACGATGAAAGGCCGCCTACCAGAGTGCGTACTGGTCAGACCGAGACCACGCACTCCCGCATGGAGTCGGCCCATAGTACAGCCGACCGCATTAGCAAACAGCAAGTTTCCCAAGCCGAAGCAGTTATCATCCGCGAGGTCCTGCGGGACGAGCTGAGTAAGCTTGATAAGCGGACAAGCCGAACTAATAGTCCACTACGAAAAGCCGATCTAGCCGATGCCATACGACAGCCGGTTCCAAGGCCGTCGTACAATGGCAGTAAGGAAGACATCGATAGCTTCCTTATTAAATTTGAACAAGCCGCTAAGGAGAACCGCTGGGTCAGTGACGAGCGTAGGGTTGCCGAGCTCGCTTACTGCCTAAAGGACGAGGCGATCATATGGTACAATGGTCTGCTAACGTCCGTCAATAAGCCGACTACGTACCGGGAGTGGCGCGATCAACTGGTCGCGCGGTTCGGAGATACCAGACGCTCTGTTAATGCGTTGTCCGAACTAACTAACCGAACATACCGACCAGGTCAGGAATCACTTGAGAGTTTCTTTCAAGCGATGATGACGCTGAGAGACAAGGCAGGTTATGCCGGCACGCCGGGACAATTTGTCACCTTTCTAGTAAAAGGAATAAAGTCGCATGCAACCTTGCATGACAAAATCGAGGGCATGGATCCTCGTACGCCGGAAGAATTTCTCGAAAAGATCAGGTACTTGACGGCGAGTAATCCCGACAAGTACGTGATACCAGTCGGTAGTAAGCGTAAACAACAAGACTCCGATTCTGTAACCGTTCGTATAGTACAGACCCAGCCGAAGCCGATGAGCTATGCGGCAGCAGCTGCTAGCCCACCGCGTCCCAATATTGGGAATAATCGCCGACCGAACCGACCAGCTAATAATGATAATGGTAACGGTAATATTAGGCCAGCCGGTAATAATAATAATAACCAACAGCCGAGCCGTAACCGATTGTGGGCCGAGAACTCTGGACGTATTCCAGAGAATACTAACCGGACTCCACGGTTGGAAAAGGAAATGAGAAACGGCCGAGTAGTCGAGTACTGCCAGCAGTGCGATGTCTGCGGGCACTACTTTGAGGCATGCCAGTTTAAAGACGTCCCGCGAGCCGAAAACCCAATCTATTTGTCGTACCATGATCCGGTAACTGGGAATCGCCGGTACGCCCGGGATTTCCGCAGCCGAAGCCAAGCCGGAAGCGGAGCAAGCTCGCCTAACGGTGACCGCTCCCGAAACAATTCACAGTCGCGTGGCCAAGGCCCGGGCCGATCGTATGGTCCGAGGCCGACGTCGCACTCACCGCCGCCGCAGCAGAGTTTCTTTGCTGCCTCCGCAAGTAACCAGGAAAACGACAACGGGGAGTAACCGCCGGCAGTACTTCCCCGTTGCCTGGTGAACCGCCGGATACTACTGAATCTATAACAATTAGTGGTATCCGAATCACCGAAGCGACCGATCTACCTGAGCCGATTATTAACGAAATCAATCTCGATTATTCTACTGTCGATTCTACTAGAGAACCAAGCCGAGCACCACCGCTAACGCAGTGGGCGTTTATTAATGGCCGTAGCGTTCAAGTTATGGTTGATACTGGAGCCGAGACATCACTCATTTCGAATGAGTTTGTGGATGAACTAAAAGTAGAAAAATTTCCCCTAATTAAGCCGCTTAATATTCGAGGAATAGGAGGTATGTGCGGGTTCTTAGTTACCTACTACTGTGTAGTAAAGGTACATATCTTTAATCAATCGACCGACCATACCTTCTATATTAAGCCGACCGTCGACGATACTAAAGTACTATTGGGCCAAGGCTTCTTGGCTGGTACTCTCTATACTGTCCGTAATAACGAATTGCAGTGCATCCGTAGGATTAACACTGTTGTAATTCAGCCGATAGCTATCCAACCAATAAAGCCGAATATTATTGAAGAAATTGTTCCGATACCCGTGGCATCGGAACCTACTATTAATGCTACTACTATTCCTAAAGAGCCGACCCCTAAAGCCGAAATCGTTCCGATACCCGTGACAAAAGCCACGGGCAAAAGGAAAATTAAACTACCGCCGCCGAAAAAGTCGTTTGCCAAATTATGGCAGGAATACCGGGTTTTTGTTGTCGAAGTACAAGAACTAACGGAATTAGCCCATAAGTCCAGACAAGATATTCTTGTCTTAGGAGACGACACCGCGCCGATTCCGGGCATGAGTCCCGAACAAGCCGAAAAATTAATTAACAGTAATGATTCCGCTTTTACGGATGAATACCTCTTGTTATTAGAGAAGCAAACAAAGTTGAAGGAAGCATTTGAGCATTTTAAATTTGATGTACCGTATGCTCTCCGTGCCGACCTAGATGAGCAGATTAAAGTAAAGCCGGAAGCAACTGTTAAGTTGCCATATCGATTAAAGCCGAAATATAAGCCGAGTAATATGCCTCCAGAAACGGAAGGCATGACTAAATGCAACCGAGCGCCTCGGGTACATTTCCATCCCATGGCGTCAGTAATGGAATTTAGTAAAGACGAGCCGACTACAGAATGTAGATCACAATTAAAGCCGAACGATAATGTCGCATGTAATAATGCGAACGTCGAATCTAACGAGCCGAATCATGTCGCTAATGTAGCTACTAATGTACCGAGGACCACTAAAAAGCTATTCAGAAAGCGAACAAATATGGATGCATCCAAGCTAATTATTGTGAATGTAGAGCCGGTAGTCAATACCGAATCTGCGCCGAATAATAGGGAATCAGAAGTGCACACTGACCCCGCCGCTAATAAATTGACTTGGGAATTTTCCGAGTCCCCTAAAGTAGAATCAACTTTCCGTGGCCAACGCCTCCAATCGAATAAGGTGTTCGCTACCGACAAAATCCTAATTAATCCTGGTACAAATATGGCTACAGTAGTAGCACGATTCGACCCAGCCGAAAAGTTTTCAACTGACAAGTTTATGTTTCTGCCGAGCCCACATGTGTACATGGAGAGGCATGTTAAGCCGGTAGAAGGTATTGTGAAGCCGATCAATGGGAAATTTGAACTAGCATTGTTCA